GGGTAGGACGCGACTCGACGGGACAGCAGGGCGCGGCGCGGCGGGCTGGGGCGACTCGACAAGAGGGAGGGGCGAGACGCGACGGGCAGGGGACGGAACTACAGGCAGGGGACGGGACGACGGGCAGGGGACGGAAGACGGACAGGGGACAGGACGACGGGCAGGGGACGAAGCGCAACGGGCAGGGGATGGGACGGACAGCGTGATGCAACGGAAGGGCAGGGGGGCACGTTGAGGAGGTGACGGGATGGGCGGGTGATAGGCGAGACGCGATGGGCAGGAGATGCGATGCGACGGCTATGGGATGGGCGCGACGGGCACTACGAGTGCTACGGGCGCTTCGTGACAGAACGGGCACGCGCTAAGGGCGCTACAGGAGGTACGGGCGTTTTTAACAGAACGGGCAAGTGCTAAGGGCATGACAGGATGGAACAAACGGCCACAACGGATGCTACGGGATGAAACAGGCGCAACGGGAACGGTAGACTACGTGCAACGGGCGCGAGAGGCTCTAGCAGGATCCCACAGGATCCTAACCTAGGTGATACCATGTCAAAAATGAAAGTGTGTATTTGGCAAAGGTTGGTTGGGGTACATAAACCTAACCCTAACAGTTGTACCCCCTATAACACACATCACTAAGACTACAATATTTGACAATATAGAATGAATGCATGTTCGTTGTGTATATTTGCATCTTGGCAGCTTGGAGCTTGGCCTCAAACATGGGTGAAGGCGCAAATGTCCCCACCCTCGGGTGTTTGCCAGGTGGCATCACTCTTGGAGCTAGATAGACTAGAAATCATCAATTGGCAGTGGCAAAAAGAATATAAGTTGACTACGTTGAGTGCGTGATACCCACACGCTTTCATCGATAAGGAAGGTATTGTTCTCTCTCCGAAATTGCTTCGATTTTATCATAAAAATTAAGCAACTCCCACATTCTTCATAAGGATGGGGGGACTTAAAATGATTACACTAGAAAAGGGGGAACTACAAACGACCCAAATCGAAAAACCCTCCTCCTTCCCACCACCCCCCCCTGTCAAACTATACCGTATGTGTTTGTTGTCTAGGCTGTAGTGGGGTAGCCCATGGAGGGTACAACCCATTCGGGTTAGTACTTGTACTCACTCAGAGATGTTAGTCAACCATTCCACTGTACTCTCTTTCTTGACATGGTACCATGCGCTAGGTCAGGTCCGGCTGCCGAACCTACTACCGAACCTACAACTAGGTTAGGTTTGTTTTCACTGCCCCACGCCTCGAGTGCCACTACCCCACTGCCCCGCATGCCGCGCGCCACTGCTCTGCTACCAAGCGCGCCGCGTGCCACTGTTCTGCTGCCCCGTGCGTCGCGCACGCCCTGCTGGCCTGCGCACCCCGCGTGCCCTGCTGCCCTGCGCTCAGAGCGCCTTGCTTCCCCGTGCCCCAACGCGCCCTGTGAGCCCTGCTAACCGCGCGCTCCGTGCTGCCTTGCGCGCCCTGCACGCCCTTCTGCCCTGCTGCCCCGCGCCTCGTGCGCCTTGCTGCGCAACATGCCCCACATGCCCTCCTACCCTACGCGTCCCGCGCTCCCTGCTGCCTCGCGCTTCGCTTTTGAGAGTACGACAACTTTGCTAGACTTTACTTGCTTGATTTTGCTTTATTATGCTTTATCTTGCTTAGGTTTATTCTACCTTGCATATTTGCTTGTTTCCCTAGGTTATGTGCCTTTCTATATGTTATCATAATTTTAGCACCGTTCTAGGTTCCGTGCACCGAATTCTAGGCTTTTTGGTTGCCACAAAATTGCCTTTTACCGAATTCGCGAAGGACCCATTTGGGATGCTACGCGACCCGCAAATTTTTAGTAAAACCCGGGTTACTGCCTTTTTGTCGAGCCTATAGATAACATCGTGTTGTACCCAGGTGATCTTATCATATTTTCTGAACCAGTTCCTAGATCCTCACACTTGATAATCAGAGCTCGTTTACACGCGAGGTCTTCAACCACTTAAAACCAGCCTAGGTGACGACTAAAGCGCCGTTCTGGGTATGTAAACCAGTTCCGCACAATTTTTCTAAGCCCCCCTCAATCTAATTTTCGAACGCACCTCAGGAATTACGACTGCCCAATCGAATTAAATCTCAACGGCCCACACAATTTCGCCCAAAGGTTGGAATTTGGAGCGACATATCGACTTCCTTCTCTACGGCCGAGATCGGACGCGAAATTGAGTAAGAAGAATAATGGGACGTACAGAGTCCACGCTCGACCATTCTACAATCATTTCTTTTCGCAGTAAGTCGAGCAGCACACAGAAAAAATTTATTTTTATCGCAAAGCTTAATGTAATTCGCCGGATGGAGAAAATTGAAATAAAATTTTACAAAAACCCGCGTAGTTACGCGAAGAGCAGGAGAAGACACATGCGGTGCTTCTAGCGGACCAATTGACAGCCACAACAGTAGCATTGACGACACCAACAATTATACTTGCGACAACCGCAACAGCTATAGTCAACCTCAAAGTTGTGAAGCCCTGGCAACCGGAGGCGTTCGATCCTAGCACGTTAAGGAGCGACGTCCATCGATTTGTAGCTTTGCTTGAAAATTATTTCAAAGCCAATGGATGCACAACCCCAACTCAAGACGCAATGTGCGTACGGCTCGTAGCAACACTGTTACGAGGCCTGGCTCTAGAGTTGATTTACACAAACAACAAAATTGTCCAAGGCGAAGGGACGTGGGCGCAGTTTCGGGCAGCACTGATCGAACAGTTCGACGTGTTGAATCTTAGCTACTACGGAATACGATGCAACAAGCCAATTAGGGATTTTGGCATGGAGCGATCGACACCACCCATGGCTGCCGATCCAATGGAGATCGACAAGGATTATGCGAAGTAGCGGCTAGCAAAAAATGAAACGTTCAAATTTTGCGGCGTTACAGGACATCGTATCTTGGCGTGTTGGAAAATGAAGAAAGCACGTGCGGAGCTGAAGGGCAGAAATAGTGCAGGAGCCGCGAAGAGAAAAATGGACAACGTGACGACTTTGGAGATGGCGAAAAATGTGAAAATAATGGCGCGCATTTAAAACGTCATGATCGGCCGGCACCAGGGGAAATTGCCGAGACAAATGGAGAATCCGCAAAACAAGACCCTGCACCGATCCTGCACCAAGTAAGAATCTATTACAGTTATCCTGTAAAGATGCTCCAACTAAATATACTACATTTTATGGTTCTCAAGGTTTGAAAATATCAAGGGAGAGATAAGAAATTATTCATGTGCTTGAAGAGTTGGGGACTCCATTACGGAGTGTTGATAAGGGTCAAGCGTTCCGAGGAGTTAATATAATCTCCCGGCAGCACAGTGTTAACGCTCCCTGTTCCCCACGGGTGAAGCCTACACAAGTGCAAAGGCTTAGGGGATGGTTCTAGGCCCATACGAAGCTGAATCGGCCCAGGATTAACATTTCTAACCCTACCG